TCAGCACTGGGACAGAACTGAATGAATTACGCCTCATTATAAGAGACACTGAAGATAATTAACTGATGGGAGATCTTTAACATCGTTAAAGAAAATCTAGAACTTTACTATGACATATAGATCTTGTTTACAAAAAAGTGTAAGGTTGAATCTCATGAAACCCATTAAACAAACATGTTAGTTCTCAGAACGTTCTGGGAACCAAAAACTACCGTTCCCAGAACGTTCCCAAAACCTACATTTGTTTGCTTGGACATACCAGATATGTGGTAGGCTATATTAGCTGTCAACTTTGCAATCAAGCAAATAATGCAAATGAATTCCTAAAGCACATGAGATTGCATCATGAACATGTTTTACGTCACACAGTTATATAATTCAAGAGTTTGAGCATCTACAATGGCCACGTTTGACCCATTAACACAAATTTCGGTCCCACTTTATATTAAGTGGCTTTAAGTACCATGTACTTACATTGAAATGAATGATTTGATACAATGGACTTATTGTGTACATACATGTTTTTACATTGTACTTATATTTTAAAAATACCAGCATGTAATTACAGCTGTAATTAATACATGTAATTACATCTGTAATTACACAGCTGACCCATCCCTTACACTTAAACCCACCCTTAAACCTACCCATACCACCTCACCTGTCCCTAACCTTACCCGTATCACACCTCAATAGCAGCAAAAGTGATTTACAATACAACATGAGCACAATAAGTACATTGTACTTATTTTTAAATGTAAGTACATGGTACTTAAAGCCACTTAATATAAAGTGGGACCCAAATTTCAGTTCTCTGTTTGCGATCAGATCATTTTAAGCCGCTGGACTTCGGGAACATTTTCAGTCCAATGATCCAGTAAGCAAATGAATTCAAACAATCAGTCCAAAACAGTGCTATTGTACAGAAAACATCCCATCGCTGTATGGCCAGATTATAAGCAAACTACGTTGCTCGACTGGATAAAGCAAACCAGCGTCGGCCTCACTAGTGAAATTTTGATGGATGAGGATTGCAATGAAGTTTAAGATGATGATTGCTGTGACGTACAGAAATTGTACAGTAAGCAGCAGAACCTGATTTCACAAAGTACATGTTCCTGGATCAACATCTTTCTTGATCCTGAACAACATTCCAATCAACCAATCAGGTTTGAGGGACAAGTTTACAGTCTCTGTCAAGTTTAGGTTTACAATCAGGTTTGGGAACTTCACCAGTGTTTCCCTCTTACTCACGGGTGGGGTAGGGATACGACTAAATATTTGTATAGGAATGTTGTTTCTGGATCAACAAAATACTGTAAGATGTTGACCCAGGTACAACTCGGCAAAATCAGGACGTATGGGGTAGCAGGCTAAAACTGTTTATTGCATCTGTTGAACAAATACAGTTTGATAATTTGTTATAGATCTTGTCTTTTTGACTCTACAAGACAATCACTCACAAATAAATGCTGCTTTAAAATGAGTTACTTTAAATGGATACTACTGAGTTAAAGTAACAAGAACTAATTGGATGGAACCACCGTCCATAATTTAAATGAGTTATTAGAAACAAATCTCCTTGTGTTTGTTGAATGTGTCACGATCACCAGTTGGAGTGCCCCAGAGAATCACCAGAGGGCACTCCACATCAGAACTGATCACTTCACCAGAACTCCGTTTCCCATAATGCCTCATCCCTGTGACTGATTACACGCACACCTGCACCTCATTTCAGACTGCCTACATAAGCCACACTCAAACAAGGAAAACACAAGACAGGAATCGTGACAGAATGTAACCTATTTGGACAGTTTTAAATAAACCACTTCATGTTCACTTAACTTCACCAACTTAAGTTACAGGGAAGCAATTCCATTGATTTGGGTTAACATTACTATTTCACATAGATTCTCCCCCATTCAGTTGTGTTTTACATGGATTCAAAGAATTCCATTAATGTTGATAAAAAGCAATTTTCTTGTGTGGAACCACGGTCCATAATTAAATTAAGTAAGTTTAAAGAATCATTTTTTTGAGTGATGCGCAAACAAACCGTGTGTGTGCGCTCTCGATGCATTGACCGCCAGTGTTGGGGGAAACGCATTAACTCGAGTTAAGTAATCAGATTACTTTTTTCAAGTAACATTAAGTAATGCATTCATTTTAAATTCACAACAAAATATCGGTTACTTTTTCAAATAAGCACTGAAATTACTTTGTTTTCCCATGTATTGACTGACAGCTGTCCTGTCCTCATGCTGAGAGAAATCGTGAGAACAGAAGCGTTGTGTGTGAACTTATTGTAGTTCCAGACTAAATGTGGGCGTGCATTTACTCATTTGCACACAAAAAAAGATTCAGCATTCCTCAAAAGTAATAAAATCAGTGAAATGCAAAATTAAAATACTATGCAAACCTCCAATAATTTTTAATGCATTTAATCTTATTTTATTTTGGGTAAAAAACAGTAAATAACTAAATCACGGGTCCTAAATCAAACTAATCCAAAATCCGAATTAATATTAATACTTATTTGAGTAAAATGTAACTATGACCTCAAAATGGTGTAATATTTTTTTTATGGGTGTTTTGGTGTGCATACACTAAAAAATGCTGGGTTTTTTTTAACCCAATTTTGGGTCAAATATGGACAAACCCAGCCGTTGGGTTACATTTTGCACCCAATGTTTGAGTTTGTCCATATTTGACCCAAAATTGGGTTAAAACAACTTAAAACCACATTTTTTAGAGTGTACATTTATGAACTATATGGTTATATCATTTTCTACTCTATCATTTTTTCTTCTTTTTGACACCAACATTTACCTTGAAAAACGCTTTGAGAAAATACAGATTTGTGAGAATCACTCTTCAATCTGATGGTTTACTTAGCTCATGACAAAATGAACATGAGCTTGGCACGTTTAGACAATCATCAACTCATGTATTATCACTGTGAACAGTTTATGATGACCATGGAAAGACTCTGACCTTTGCAATGTTTGCTCTCTTTACAGTCTTTAAATGTTTAAACCTGCAAAACAGGTGACGAGTTTCGTGCAAAAGCAGTCGACGTGCTCAATTTACAATATACGGTTGAACGTCAATACACTATATTACTGACAATGACTCAACAAAGGTTAAAGTGACAAGATAGATATTTAGAGTAGACAACTTTACTGAACCAATTAAATCAATACACTATAGTCAAATGTCTGACATAAGATGGACATTATTGATAATATAACAGTGACAAGCATCTGCAAAACGTGGTGTCAGCTGATATTGCGGAAGATTTTGACATAAAGTCAAAAGATTTTCTTCAAAACAAACCCAAATGTACTGAATTACACCAGTAATATAATTTGTTTCCTCCATAACAAAGAGTTTTTGTCTCTGAACACACTTCAGCACTTCCTCATAACTGCATGTGAACTCCCCATGAAGCCTTTCACACAAACTCCAAGGAACATGAGACATTTATCTGATATGCAAATATATAATTCTGTTTAAGAGGTGCTTTTACAGAAACGCCCCACACAGGTCTGTAATTGTTTGTATTGAGTAGCGCATTAAAAGTAAAGTCAAATCCTTCAAAGTTATTGTTAAATGTTTTGCTTTGAAGACTGAAAGAAATGAATGACACAAGAGCTTTAAAGCAAATATTTAGTAAATATTCAGTCGCATTCAATGACCATTTCGCAATACATGAGATGCACGTTCATTTGATGTAAAACATTACGACAAGGTATTTTTATATTCAAGTGATTACATGCTTAATTTTTTCCTGTTAATCGGATCATTTTAGGTCAGCACCATTTCGTTGAAGATTTTTCAGTCTGATTGAGCATTCAACCTGATTGTAAACGGACACGAAACGTAGCTATTGAAAATCCGGTTTACCTCCTGAACAGGTTTTGAGCATAATTTAATGCTGACTTTCACGTTATTCAGTTCAGGGCAACAAATACTGTTGAAACAGTCACCATCTATTTTAGGTTTGCCCACAATTTTGACTCATGCATTATGCATTATGAATTAATTGAATAAGTTAAAACATGGACATGTGGAAAAATGAAACGGGAAAACACTTGTGAATACGGCAATGCTACGGTAACACTTTATTTTGATGGTCCCTTTTGACTATAAGTAAGTTTGCAATTACAACTAACTCTCATTAGAGTATTAGAAGACTGTCTGCTTTGTATGCTTTTAAAAAAAAATTTTGCTGATAATTTACTCACTCCCATATCATCCAAGATATCCTCGTCTTTCTTTCTTCAGTCAAAAAGAAATTAAGGTTTTAGATTTTTCGAAAAAAAAAAAAAAAAAAAATTTCCAGGATTTTTCTCCATATAATGGACTTTAATGGGGTCCAAACGGTTCAAGGTCCAAATGAGAGTTTCAGTGCAAACTGCAAACTGTTCAAAGGGCTTTAAACGATTTCAGACGACGAATATGTGTTTTATCAAGCGAAACGATAGCACATTTTAAAAAAAATAACAAAGTTTAAGTTATGCGTTCGTGACTCTCCTGTTCGAATATTTTTTCAAGTCAATTTGTTCATTTTGTTCGTTGAATGAACCTCACGAACGCGCATCACAGAACAGAGCAAGGCAAGCATTTGTGCTTATAAATATTCACTTTTTTTTTTTAATGACTGATTGTTTGCTAGATAAGACCCTTATTCATCGTCTGGTGTCGTTTAAAGCCCTTTAAAGCTGCACTGAAACTCTCTTTTGGACCGTTTGGACCCCATTGAAGGCCATTATATGGAGAAAAATCCTGGAATGTTTTCATCAAAAACCTTAATTTCTTTTCGACGGAAGAAAGAATGACATGAACATCTTGGATGACATGGGGGTGAGTAAATTATCAGCAAAAGTTTTTTTTAAAAAAGTGAACTACTCCTTTAATATCTGCTAACTCTTCTCCAACATACATTATACTGACTATAAGTAACTTTGCAACTACATGTCAACTTATTCTATCCCTAACCCTACCAAGTCTACCCAATCTAGAGATGTAGGTGCAACATTACTTATAGTCAAGTGAATGTGTTAAAGGGACCATCCAAATAAAGTGAAACCAAATAATCTTAGTTTCAGTCAAAGTGCACAATCAGTTTGTAAACCCTCATTGCTTTTGCAACGAGCTGGAGAAATCCAACAGAAGATGTTCTGTCACCTGTAGATGACCATCAAACATCTCTTACTCAAGACGCTCCGCCGGTTAATTGCAAGACAAAGACAATCCCGTCCATCTGTCCAAAATAACCAGGCCAACTCTAGGTTCCTCTCCATCTCTGAAGTCCTCCTCGGGTTCAGTTACGTCCTGCGGGTGGTCTGTCCTCTGAATATAAGTCCTCTGGTCTTGTTTTCCCTGCAGAGGAATCCCCGGCAGCCAGTTCTGCCTGTAGTTTGACGTCACCTGCACGTCAGGAACATGTACAGGCAGATAGTCTGAGTCACTTAATAAAGGCGCTTGTTCTCCAGTTAAACCTTCTGATTCCTGATCCGCATCTGGAGAACTTAGATCAGCATCAAACTGAAATAAGCAGCCATGAAACTGCAGCGCACCATTTTCAGTGGGCCTAACTGGTACCACCAGTGTCTCGCTGCTGCATTCAGTGTCTGAAATGCTCAAAACGGGCTCCGCACCAATCGAATCCGAGCTGGTCGGATCTGCTCTGCCATCGGATGATGGTTTGTTGAAGCTCTGGACGGGCAAACAGAGGCTGTAATGCACTGAAGACTCTCTACTGTCAGGGACTGGGACGTCCTGTTGACATCTGTAGGGCTCCTGGGATGCATAGGCGGTCACATTAACCCCGATCTCGGACTTCTGCTGGGCAAAAATAGGCTGTGGATCATAGTTCCCCATCCCAACAAATCCAGACCACACTTCCAATTTAGATATGTCGTCCCGGGGATTTGAACAAAATGGACGACTGGTGTTCTTTGACAGCATCTGATTTACAGAGAGAAGAGAAAAGGTATGATTATTTATTTCATTGAAATTGATATGTTCTAAACTGAAATATTTTTTTTGTGTGTGTGTCAAATTAACCCACTTCCTTAATTGTGTCACTTCCCACAGGTGGGACGCTTGCCATTATATTTTTAAAACAATAATATCTTAGAAAAGACTTTAAGCAATATTGACAAACTATATATCATTTGAAAGCTTACAATCTCTAGTTTCCATATTTGGTGACTGATTTTCAATTATCAATTTGCAACAAGAATATTTTCATACTCGTAAAGCGTGTTCAGACCTTTATTTTGAAATAGCAATGAACATGAAATGGAGGTGCCTTTATATAGGCAGTAATGGAGTCTGGTTGTGCCCTAGTGGAAGCGTTTGGTACTGCGCCCAAACAAAATCTCAAAGAAAGCTAATTTTTTTGAGATTTTAACCTAAAATTTGAAAGACAACTTTTTTTGGCTTTGATTTTTCTGCAGTTTTAGAGTAGCCCAGGTTTTAAAAATATATATTTTATTTAAAATATGAATAATATTTTTTTTTTACGTTGTACATTTTCATAAACTCAAACTTTTCAAACTTTTTTTCTGTTGCACTTTCTTAATTTATTTCACTTTAAACAAAAATCTGGCAAATGTCTTCTTTAAAACAAGATCAATTATACGTCTATATTCCAAAGCATTCTTGAACCATTTAAGTTTGAAATGTGCATTTCCATGTCTATTCAAAAAAAGGGGGGGTGACAGTTAATAGGTTAAAATAATCGAAACATTTAATAAGGAAGAAATATGAAATATTTCATTGACCTCCATCTCATATGACCATTAATCAACATCAAAGAACCGTAAACATGAAAATGTGTTGTTCAATTATTGATGTATTTACTCCAAAGATATTTCCAGTGAATATTCGGCTGACTTTTGCACGATCAGATTGATTCTAGACTCTGTACTTGAATGGTTTGATCAAACAACCAGCGGCCCACGAGGAAGTTTAAAACTCAAAGATGTTTAGTCAATGAAGCCAAATATTGACTTCATTAATCAACATGAGGTTATACAAAAACCCAAGCTGAGCTGGTTTACTGAACAAACATCAACATGCATGATTTATATGTTCATGTCACGAATGAATAAGACTTTTTATAATATCTCAAATACCTAAACAGGTTAAATAATCCATGAAAGCAGTGAAGTGCTCAAAGGGAAATCTGTGGCTGCTGATTTGGCAGCAGATGTTAGTGCTGCTAGCCTTAATCAACATGATAAAGTCATTTTGTGCTGCCGAGAGCAATGCGCAGATAAGACACAGTCCTTCAGGAGGCTTAAGAGAAACACGACGCTCTTGTCAAACAGGACTATTCACTGCCAGTAAGATGGTAAGTTGATTCCAAGTATGTTCACCAGGAAATTCCCAATGCGACTATGACACAATGGCTTACCAGCACTTTGGGTAAGGAACGCTTTCTCTTTATAGACATCTGGTAAAACGCAATGGGTAGAATGATCAACAGCAGCAGAACCAGCAGACCGGGCAACATTAATATATGAAACCTGGAATCAGGTGCTGAAAGACACAAAGATTGCAGATGCATATAAATAAAATTTTTTAGTCTGTACATTAGGGTTTCAATTTTGTGCATGTCTCATTTTTTTGCATTATAAAATAAAATTAGATAATTAAAAAATAGAAATAAAATAATAAAATATCAAATTAATTATTTAATACATCCATTAAAACAAACAAATAAAATAATCAAATTGCATTTTGAGTTAAGGGGTTCGATTATGCTGTGTTTGTATGTTTACATCATTTAATGTTCAAAATATCTAATTATATTTATTATAAACATTTGAGTGTTTTAATGTTGGTTACCCAATAGAGTTGTATGTACCTTTTCTTTACTCTGTATTGTCTTATTGTGTTTTTTTGTCTTTGTGCCTTGTGTATTTATTGTGTAACTTATTGTTGTCTTGCACTTTTTCACCTTATCTTGGCCAGGTCGCCGTTGTAAATGAGAATTTGTTCTCAATCGGCCTACCTGTTATATATATATATACATATATATATATATAAAATAAAAAAATAAAATAAAATAAATAAATTAAATTTTTTTTATATATAATTTTATGAAAAAAAAATTAAATAATTAAAAAAAAATAAATAAAAAAAATAAAAAATTATAATTTCCATTGTTGCAGCACCTGTTTTCACCTTCTGTCTGAATGATCTGTTTTAGTTTCAGCGGCTGTGTCCGAAATCTCCCACTACTCACTATATAGTGGACTATATAGTGAGCTCGCCATTTTGTCCGAATGTATAGTGATGATTATTATACTCTATATAGTCCACTCAATGTATCCCAGAATGCATTTTGAAAAGTAGCCTAAAAAAAAAACCCTACATACCATCACACATCGCGCTGATCGTAAAAATGGCGAACGGACGACAGCAATGACGTAATCAACAGCGCCGAGAGACGATCGAGTAGTGTCCGAAAGTGGTGTTTCTATTATGCTGGTGAGCTCACTATATAGTGCTCTACTCCCTACCCCCTACATAGAGAGTAGTGGTTCACTGTAAAAAATTATTGTGATTTTAACAGTAAAAGACTGTAAAAATGCTACAGTGAAAAACTGTTCATTGGTTAACAGAAAGTTTCCTTACTATATATGTTAAATAACTGTGATATATATAATGGTACATTTAATGTAATTTTACTGTAAAATACTGCTAAATTTACAGTTTTTGGAAGTGAAAAAGAAGAAGTCATTGTATAATTTACAGTGAAAAAATGTAAATTGACTTTCCCACAATTCCCTGCGTGACACTTCACATTTAATGTATTTTAACCGTTTATTCATAATTTTCTTAGTTTTTTTCTTGTCAGTTATGTTCATTAGGGTTTTATGTTACATTTAACGTTATTAAATTAATTCTTATTTCATTTTTTAAATTTCAACATGTTACCATGATGGTGTTTAATGTTTGTGTGAATGACACTGTGCAACTTCTATGTAGTAGTATGAACTCTCTTGTGGAAAAGCTGATGATGATGAGCTTTGATTGATCATTTGACTCTCATTATTGGCTGTCGGTGTATTGCAATTGAACAAAACAGATATTAATACTTCAAATTGTCAGTAAATTAACATTATATCAAATAATGAATTACGGTTTATTGCTGTAGAATTAAGTTAAACCTAAAATGTTGCTACCGTACTTTTAACAGGAAAACTCTGGTAACCACAGCTGCCGGAGTTTTCCCGTAAATTTAACAGACTTTTTTTTACAGTGTTTGAGAGGAGAATTCAGACACAGCGAGTTTCTTTAAAACCCACCTTCCGAAAAGCACAGTCTGCTCTGATTGGTCAGTGATTGGTCGGTCTTTTGTCATTGGTACCGCTAAGAGCTTGTAATGCCATAACCGGAAAGGATCAGCTCTGGAGCCGTCCTGTGGCACTGTAAACATTACTGTCACTACACTATGCCATAGTTACAGTGTCTAATAATGACAGTCAAGAAGAACAAGCTGATCAACCCGAATCATCTTCGCAAGCACAACTTCTTTTTGCATACGCCTTGGGCGGGAGTTATTTAAATGAGTAATATTGTGACGTGTTCGTTCCGCAAGAAAACTCAAGACTACAATGGAGGCGTTTCAGGAACAGTGACACTGATAACTTTAGCTTCGCAACTTTACAGACCTTTTTCATGTTCAAAGAGCAACATTACACACCAAAGAAAGCTGAACATGTTAAATAGCATTATTGGACCCCTTTAAAGTAATGAAAGGAAATAATAAAACACTGAAAACTGAAGGTAGTTTTCGACACGTCAATCAAAGCACAACTGCTCAATTACCCGAGACATCCACACAAAAGGAGGCGCTTTCACTGTGAATGGACCTGGCGGTGTGTGCGAGTGTATAAACCACATCACCACAGTACTGCACGTCTGTTTCCACAAGCCGAATAAACACTGAGCGAGACGTGTCCTCAAATACCTTCAAAAACAAGACACATTTAAGACATGTAGTGAAACGTCAAGGGACAATAAATGTAGACACGTGCAAAACTGGTATTTTGTTGGTTGTATTGGTGTCTTACAAGCCCATTAGGGCGTTATGCATCATATCTATGCATAAATATATGAATCCCAATCGAACTGGATGCATATGACTGAAGGAGAATCAATTACCTTTCTCTCCTCTGATTTGGGATGTGTCAGATGAACTGAGTACTTGACGACTACCCGGGACATGACATTCTCGATAGAGCGATTCCAAGGGATCATCGGCGGGGAAACCGTCACATTCAGATGAGTTTTGTTTGACGCTACTGACAGCTGTGGTGCTGTCAATATGGCTAAAATGAGTGAAACACAACAGTGATGTTGTATAGATTTTAAGAAACCATCATGCAAATCAAGAATGTTTCATTTTGTTATGATTTTGATAAACAGATCAATCAGAGTCCTACATTAAATCCATCAGAGAACTAACAGATCTAGACATGATCACAAATATAATTCACATGAAAGTCTACATTAGAATGTCTTACTTTGCCAGAATAGAGCAAAATTCACGTCACCCATGCACAGTCCACCGACAGTGATTCGGAAATTATATTTAATGCTCACAGAGGACAACACATCACTCGTCACACCAGTCAGGTCACAAACGGGAGCGGAGATGTTCTGGCACCACGTCACTGGACGATATGGACTCCCATAACTGCAACAGAACAGACATCAGTCAAAAGAACAACAACACTGAAAATAAAGAAGTGTTGCATGTAACAGACAACACAAGTAAGGGTTGCACTTTATTTCGACAGTCCACTTTAGACAATCTACTGATTATATGTCAACTAACTCTCATTAGAGTATTAGGCCTTGTCCACACGGACATGGATATTTTTATAACCGTAATTTTTCCTCCTGCGTTTAAAAAAAAAATCCTGTCCACATGAAAACGCAAAAACACGCTATCAAGCGCTGTCAAGAGCATGCCACACCAGCAGGCGGCGATATAACCCAAACCGTAAAGCCACGTTGACCAATCAGAAGCCTAACAAAAAGTTATTACAGGTTCAGGTAGTCGGATAAAGGCATTTTTCAAAAATGTTCGGTTTCATGTCCTGATACTGCATTACCTTGTGGACGAACGGCCGAACCGCGTAAAAAAAAAGTCACGGTAATAAAAATACCACTGTCCGTGTGGACAAGGCCTTAGTAGACTGTCCAACGCTGCTATCTCACTGAAATTCATTCGAAAATTAAGTGATTAAAAAATGTTCGGTTTCAGTGTCCTGATGCTGCGTTACCGTGTGGACGAACGGCCGAACCGCGTAAAAAAAGTCACGGTTATAAAAATACCCGTGTCTGTGTGGACAAGGCCTTAGTAGACTGTCCAATGCTATCTCACTCGAATTCATACGAAGGTTAAAAGGTTGCTAATTCGTACAAATTCGTACGACCTCACTCGTAAAAATTCGTACGATTTGTCTAAACCCATGTGATGGGTAGGTTTAGGGGCGGGGACAGGGGTAGGTCATTTGTACGAATTTGGTAACTCGTAAAATATGCACGAATTAGCAAAAATCGTACGAATTTAGTACGAGCGCGAACTAATTGCCCCACGGGGATTAATAAAGCTCTAAACTAAACTAAATTTGTACGAGTGAGGTTGTCTGAATTCCTACGAATTAGCCACCTCGTAAAATTCGGACGAATTGCTGTGAGATAGGGTTGGACTGTAAGGTTATGGTTAGTTGTTAGGGTTTGGTTAGTAGAATAAGTTGCCTTTTATTTGCCAAGTTAGACAGTAGAATAACTGTTGGGGGACATTCAAAATAAAGTGATAGCAGACATTAAGCAGACAGTCTAATAATACTCTAATGACAAATAGTTGACATGTAGTTGCAAAGTTACTTATAGTTAGTAGTCTAAAGTGAAATAAATCGAAATAAAGTGTTACCCAAGTGAGTGAATCAGACCAGACCAACAAGTACACTGTAAGTACTTTACCGTAAAAGGAAGCGTTACCAACTATTCTACACTACACACCCTGTATAATGTGTGCATGTGTCATATAATGTGCAATAATGAGTATCTGATATTGCATGTTTATTCTCTTTTTAACAACCCTTCATATAATAGCTTAGCTTAGCCCATGCTCAAACTCAATGCAATTATTTTAAAGGGTTAGTTCACCCAAAAATGGAAATGATGTCATTAGTGACTCACCCTCATTCATCTTCAGAGCACAATTTAAGATATTTTAGATTTAGACGTGCTGAGGTCTTACGGGCTTGGAAGGACATGATGGTGAGTCATTAATGACATCATTTTCATTTTTGGGTGAACTAACCCTTTAAGTGTGCATTTCCAATGTGTAAAATCTGAACGTTTGTATCGATGGCCGGATGAGAGGAAGAATGTGAGGATGAGAGGTTGGACTGATGTGTGCCGGCGAGCAGTCGTGGGATTATCTGAAGCTTTTGTCTCTCATCCCGTCAGCCTCACTGACCCTCCCAGCATGCACTGCTGCTCCCTCCGTTCCCATCAGATTTATTTTTCCCCATCAGATTCTCTGCCAAGCGTAACTGTGACAGGAGCAAAAGATTGGGTGCCAAGGCCAGAGAGGGCCTGCAACGTTTCGCAGACGCGGCTTCTTCCTGCTCCGTTTCTAATTGCAGTTCACAGACTGGAGAAGAGATTCACAGCCGGGTGACCACAGCGTGTCCTTCACCAAAGCAATGTCATGATCTCGACACTTTGTGCCGTTATTCACAGAAAACAGAAGGACTGGTGGGAACGAATTATTAAACCCTTGGCCAACTAAACCTTTAATTCAGTTACAGTACATACACACTGCCAGTCAAATAAATAAATAAATAAATAAATCAGTGTTTGGATCATTATTGCAGTGCTTATTATTTTTCTTGCATGTTACTGTACATGTTTGGCAACAGTTCTTCCAACCCTTCATTTCTTAAACGACCTCATGGCCAGGATATTCCAGGATGACAATGTCAAGATTCATAAGGCTCAGATTGTGGAAGAATGGTTGTGAGGAGCATGAAGAATCATTTTCAATTCATTGAAAGTCATTGGGATGTGCTGGAGGAGACTTTACAGAGCGCTGAACTTTTGCGTTGACAATTCAAGATCTTGAGCAAAAATTGATGCACCTCTTGATGGAAATGACATCACAACATTGATTTCCATCAAGATCTTAAAATACAATCATTAATACATACTAGGGATGCACCGATATGAACATTTTGGCCGATACCGATAACCGATAATTCGAAAGCCGATAACCGATATATCGGCCGATAAATCTAAATCCAATTTTTATATCATTTTTTGAATCCTGATTGCAAAAACAAAAGTCTCACAATTAAAATCCGTCCCCTAACACAATTGTAACGTTCTCATTATAATTTCATGTAGCTGATATGACAGCACATTTTGCACTTAACTATATTTTCCTTTTTGATTCCAATCATATTTCAAGCAATTAAGATCAATCATGTTGAACAGTGCGCATCTTAAGGTGTTGAAGGAATTAATTCATTATTTATCGGCTTTAATATATCAGCCAAATTTTATTATCGGGCCGATAACGATAACATAAAAATGAGCACATATCGGCCAATACTGCACCCCATATTTACCAATACAAACATGCCGAGGAAGGTATACATGCCAGGGATATGCCAACGCTAGGGCGTCATATAGTGACACTTTTGAAATTTCATCTAAATCCAACGCACATGGCACCCTTTAGCATCAATATAACATGCTTCGGTTATGGGTAGGTTTAGGTCTGGGGTAGTGTTAGTGTTACACCACTAGGAGGCGCCTTCTGGCCCATATACTGTATATCTGCATCTCATATTGACACTAAAGGGTGCCATGTGCATTGGATGTAGACGAAATGTCAAAAGCGTCAGTATATGACGCCTTGGGATGAGAACGGGCTGGATATGCCCAAAGCCTAAATCTGAACTCATGGCAAATGCAAAATGCATTCTACGGAGGCCCTAAAGGGACATGGTTAGGCTTGCTGCGTAGTCAGTTATATTACAGAATATCATATTTCACTTATCACATTGGATAGATCATGACTGACAGGATTTGGTGCGCATAGATATTGAGCGTCTCATATCTTATCGTAGTCAGTACCGCCGCTCCATATACACAGAGTAAATGAAAGTATAAAAGCGATGCATATTGACAGTGGCTTCCTTGCTAAGTTATTTCCAATATTATTACCCAACTATATGATTGTGAGATAAACGCAAAAGCATTGAAATATATTTTCTCTGTAGAATGCATAATTTCCTTTCCCAATAGTATTTGGATTCAGGCACTTCCTTAATGAATCTGTACTGGACACATTTGCGAGAAAAGACAAAAGAAAAGGTCCAGCCAGGTTTGCCCAGCATGGCTGTCACTCACAGGTTGTACTGAACACTGTAGAGAACCGTTTGATCAGGGATGTCCACAGCTTCCCAATGGAGAACACTGAAGAAGTTCTCGGACTCGACATAAGCCTTCGTCAGATTACAGCACCAACAACCTACACACCAACAGGAGACGAGAAAAATAAACGTGAGATGCTTTTACAGGTCTCGACTCCCAACTCTGAACATCGTGGTGTGATGATAGAATAAATCAGGTGACCATGTTCTAGATTTAACGTCTTTTGTCTAAAAGTAAGTTAAGGTTTTCCATTCTATGGTTACAACACACATCATAACAAACACCAGCACACACATACACACTCCCCCATACTAATCATTCCACACACTAACAGGAGAGGAAACAACATCCGTTTGAGCTACATCCAAAAACCTGCTCCAGTTCTCCAGGCTGTTTGAATCAATACTTCGTAAATAGTATAGCATAACGCTATATAACCTTTAAACCTCAACTTTCCTTTTCTACTTTCAGCAATTGAAGAACAGAGTTTGATGAGTATCTGACAGCAAGATGATGATATAGAGTCCATCGATCATAAGCCTTGATGAATAATCTCTTCACGTTCTGGTTGCCCTCGAGGAAAAATGAACAGCTCCAAACAAACAGCTTTTGCAGAAAGTGCTGCCCATGTAAAGACAAAGCCTGTGTAACTTCTAGAGACGGTGCAACACTCACAGAAATTTGAATAAAAACAGGTTTTAATGGGTGGATAAAACTTGCCAAGTGGTCTTTAATTTGATTAGAAACTAAAATATATTACTAATGAAGATCACATATACAGATTTTAAATTACGTTTGTGCCTGCACAAATACCAAAAATAAAAGAAAGAAGAAAAACCAACAACAACAACAAAAAGCATGAATGCTTATGACCTTTAATTATAAGAAAAACTCTTCGAATATACTGATTTATTTATTTTTACATTAATCTTCTTTTGCACAGACAGGAAAAATCAGAATCTGTTAAAATACTATAAAATGCATTTACAAACATAATATTAATGTGAACTTAAAGTATGGCTAATTACCTGTAATTTGAATGGTAAAACTTTAAATTACCTCAAATATTGGTTAAATATCCTTTGATCCAAAAAAAAAGGGAAAAATATGGAAGCTTGTATCCGCATTGAAATAAAAACAAGCTTCCATAGAAAATTCCGTAAAAAAATTAAAAATAAAATACAGATCTGACAATTAATATATACTATTACCTATATGGTGTAAAGTGAAGACTTTAGATATGCATCTCACATGCAGAATATTCCTCAAATTAAACCATCAAAATAAAAATAAGCAAAATCAAAACTTTCACTAATTGTCACAAATGTGCAAATAAAAACAGCTAAATAATTATTAAATCATTAAATAAAATAATATGTTTTAGGTAACTAAAACATATATATATATATATATATATATATATATTTTTTTTTTTAAATTATTATTATTTTTTTAACATAAATTTATGTTTAAATAAGATAAAAACTCCAGTTTTGTGGCCAGTAAAAATATTTCTCAATTATTATTTTTATATTTCTTCTTTGTATAGAAATATTCAGCCTATTTATTTTTTCTTAATTTAAACAGCAAAGAAAGAAAAAAAAAAGAAAAGAAAAAAGAAAATATATTTTTAGACGTTTTTTTTTTCACTCACCAGCACAACAGAGCAAAAGAATGGCAGCTCTCAGAGGCCACATATCCAGACGTGTTCGAATATCTCCAACTGAGAAACATCAAATAAAGATCCAGTGGTCAGAGACACAGTCCTCTCATTATTTCCTTCCAATAATTGTCATTCCCACAAACAAGAGAAATCCCATCGAGTCTTATGGTGGGACATTATTCGATCCCTGCAAAACAATGACAGAGTCGCTTGCTTTACACGCTCTGTTCCATCTCTAATCGGTCTGAAGAAAGATCTACCCATCCTCAGGTGTAACTGTGAACTTTGGAGCGTCTTATCGGCACGATCCTGTTCTCTGCTGTTGGCCTCCACCCATTAAGGGGCGTCTATTAGCCACATCTAGAATTTCAGGTTTTCACAGCTGAAAAACTGAAACTGGAAATGAAGCACTTCTCAGAAAGGCGTAGGAGGAAGGAAGCACACCTTCAGGCCAGGATGTGGAAGTTTCAGTTGGCACGTGCTGCTCTATATTACCTGTAATGACACAAAACACAATCATTTTACAGCATGACATCATGTGTTACAGAATGTGTGACTGACAAACAAAAGATTAACCTCAACTACAAAAAGATGCACACGCTGTAATAAGGCTCCGATCATCTTGACCTTTGTGCTTTTAAAATATGTGCTTTATATATATATATATATTTATATATATATATATATATGAAGAGTTCAGATGCAAAAGCCTCTAAATGCCATTTGAAATATACAGTATATACATATACACACACACTTAAAAAAACGTTGGGTTGTTTCAATCCAAATTTGGGTCAAAGATGGAATTAAAAAAATTTACAGTTGAAAGTTGAAGTTGGGTTAAAATTTTTAAATTACATTTTTAACCCAACTTTTGGGTTTGTCCATATTTTATCTAAATCTGGGTTCAGACAACTCGTGCATGCATGCGTTTATATACATACATATATATATACATGCATACATACATAATATACATATACGTATAAATAAAATGTATGTATGTAGTATGTATGCTGTATGCATAATACACACACACACACACACACACACACACACACATATATATATATACACACACAGTATATAGTATATAGTTATTATTATTATTATTACCCCATCTCTGCTCTCTGAAAGACGTGTCATCCACCATGTCTGGCGAAACAACAATGTCCATCCTACTCTTATTTTCTGTTTGAGTCGAGTTCTGTCACAGATGTGATTCCTCACAACTCCTATTTCACAGAGATCTGTCAGACAGAAGGACATTTTCGGCAAGCTATTCCATAAAATCACAAGCACCTTTAATCTCAAACAGATAGTGAGGATAACGGCGAAAATCCAGATAGAGAGTGTATAATAATCTAACACTCTCAGACAGGTGAAACATACAGAACAGGTAATATGATGCACTGCGGGAACACAAACACAGTTCCACTTTTCAGGAGACTGTATCTTAAACATCACTTTGTAAAATTCAAATAAGTTTGTTTGTAATTGCACATTGCATTGGACACTTACTGTAAATGTGATGTATTATTGCACAGCAGAATATGTTCAACTTTCTCCGCATGCATACAGTATATTCTCATGTAGGGCGATATATACAGTACCAAGCATCCACTGTTTGGCTCATTTCCATGTTGAATTCAGACTGTTCTGAAGGTGTGTTTGAGTTTCATCTTCTGGCTGTGTGGACCGTCTTCCCACTCCCGTCACTGAGACGATTCAAAGCGAGTGTGTCCTGACTCAGATCTCAGCTCTGAAGCCAGTCATCGGTGGAGACGACAGATCTGAGCTCCTCTGCCTCAGGAAAGCCATCGCTGACTGTCCTCCAACGCACAGCCAAACACTCCTCTCCAACACCACACATTATTGTGTACCTAGATCTCGGCAGAGACGTTCACGTCAAGAATAGATGAGGCAGATCTTCTTCAGGGTTACGTCTCATCATGATTGAGGCGCCGTGTCGTATGCGAATTATGGTTTGCAAAACTGCAAAGCATCACATCTAAAGGTCAAGTGTGTAATTCTGCACCACTAGCAGCAAATACTGTACACTCTTAGAAGAAATGGTTCTATTTAGAACCAGAAATGGAATCATATATGGAACTCCAAAATGGTTCCAAATTTCCTATTGGCCAAGTACGGAACCCCAGGGTTCTATATAGAACACAGAGGAACCCTTTTTTTAAGAGTGTATAGAACCTTTTAGGGGTTCCAAATATGTAGTGCTGATAGAACCTTTCAAGGTTCTATATATAACCTTTTCTTCTAAGAGTGTAAGTTTGAGTGTTCCGACTGGACGTGACAACATGTTATGGCATTTTTGTTTTGTTTTTTGCTTGTCTGAACAATTGAAGAATGGTGCACTATTTCTGCAATTCTGTTTGGTGCCACTAGTGCAGAAATTACGCACTGTAAAAAAAAAAAAAAGTGTAATCGTGTGGGATTTGTGGGATTCACTCTGATAGTATTTGAGACAACTGTGCAATTAGAAATTGAAATTCCAGTTAAGGTGCATAAATTATTAAAGAATAGTCACCTATGATGTCATGATCCTAAATAACATCCACTGTTCTTCTACTTCGCTAACAACCTTCTGGGATGACCCTTTGTCAAGCGATTACACTCTTCACTTCCACCTACGGATAGCATCCCCCTTCCCACAATGTCCTTCAGGGATGCAAAAGCGTCATTCGGAGTTGGCCTGTGTGTGAACCACTGAGAATGTGAGAGGACTTTAATGAGAGAGAAGACGCAGCATTATCAAAATCACACCGCTATAAAATGCAAGGTGTTCTTTGTCTCCATGGAAGAAAAGAAAGTAATTACACAGCCCTGACAGCTGGATCGATAGCACCGTCGTATCCCTTGGAAACTGAGCTCACCTGCAGCGCTGGAGAAGAGATGAGCTCACACACACTCACAAGAGCTCAGTGATAATTGGAGGACACGTCTAACCTCACACTGCTATAGTCATACCGACTTATTTTAATATCAGTGAGATACTAAATTCATATTTTGAATTCGTTTTTTTATGTGTCATTCACATTTTGTTTCAGTTTTTTTAGTACATTAAGTTACACTTTATTTCAATAGTCCACTACAGTCAGCATCAACGTCATAGAAGAACCATTGTTGGTTCCCCAAAGAGCCTTTCAGTCAACACTCTTTCTTAGTGTGAAGAACATTCTAAAAAGCCATAAGAACCCCCAAAGGGATACTTCAGGATTTAGCTTTGTATTAGTAGAAAACCTGTGGTATTTTCAAATTACCGTGCGTTCCACCCTCATATCCCACTGAGACGATAGATTTATGTATTTTTTGTTTATGTACATTTTGCGTCATCGGAGGATGTTTTTGTCCAAAGGCTAAAGACTACAGTCAGTAGTCGGGTCTGTCCCGCATGTCCTCAACCCGCCCATAGAGGGCGATCTCACTCACAGAATGAACACACAGTGTCGGCCATCTTTTTTTGGAAGCTAAGCTAGCAGGCTCTTGTTCTGTGGAGAAAGCTGAGTAGTAGGGGTTACCATCCTCTTTTTCCCGGACATGTCCGGCCGTCGATGTCCGGGATTCAGCTTTTGCTTTCTGCAGTCGCCATTCATTGTTTACAAGCACAGCTTTTGTTTCAATCTAACTGAATTCATTCCGACTGGTGGATCTGAATGTAGTGTTTTTATGAACACCAAACAAGTGACCGGTTGATGTGCGTTTTAACATTGCTAAGAAAATCGCTTATCGAGATTTGATGTCGCTCATCGGTAATCACGCCGTCGGCCCTCACTCGTCCCGCTCGCTACAGTAAACATATAACGAATGGCGACTATAGAAAGCAAAAGCCGAATCACGGAAATTTTGGGCGATCTCGAAACACATTTTCGGGCAGACTCATCACGGAGACTAACTAGTAGCCTAGACTTGTTGTTGTTTAACTACTGCGCGGTTACCGGTAGGCGTGGCCTCCAAGGGCAGTGAAGCAAGTGCATTCTGGGAGTTGTTGTCTTTCATCCACATAAGCCAAAAATACATTTTCAGGCTTTTCTCAGTCTAGAAAGCTCCAAATTCAAAAATAATTTCACATTTCTTCTACATGAATGACACATTTTAAATACACATTCATCTTTCCAGAGGTGAAGTATCTCTTTAAGAACCTTTTGTGGAATGAAAACGTTCCAAGGCTCTTCATGGAACCATCGATGCCAATAAAGAACCTGGAGTGAAGACATTCTACTGCTACATGTCAACGAACTAGTAGACTGTAGGTTCGGGTTAGTAGAATTAGTTGACATGTAGTTGCAAAGTTACTTTTAGTCAGTAGAATATCTTGGGAGACTCAAAATAAAGTGTTAGCAGATATTAAACAGACAATCTACTAATACTCTATTAAAAGTGAGAAGACATGTAGCTGCAAAGTTACTTATAGTTTGTAAAATGTCTAAAGTAGACAATTGAAGAAAAAAAAAGAAGTGTTACCTAAGTTTAAGTTACCTATGTTTTCTTGGTTTAGGTTAAAAAAAAAAAAAATATATATATATATATATATATATATATATATATATATTACACTTTTAGATTTAGTAAACTGTACTTGATATAACCAGGGAAACTTGTTTCATTCATAAAAAAAGAAGAAAGTCATCACACTCACCTTCATGTTGACTATTCTGCGACTATTTTCTGGCTTCCGTGAAGCACACAAGATGTTTCTGAGTTTCTGTTTCTGTTTTTCCATACAATGAAAGTGAAAGATGGATTCATATTATCTGGACCAGCCTGAAAAATAGAGATTTCAAAAACATTTACAAGTTGTTTGAGCTCCAGCAGAGACATTCTGAACACAGTTTGAGACATTGTCGATCTTTTCAGAAACTCTACAGGAGCCGAGCACGATTATTGAGGCCTTTTTAAGGAGAAACATCTTTATGACTCATGGAATGAGACGGACTCTCATTCAGTTCTGCATTCAATCTCACTCCAGTCTACGAGAAACAATTGAGATATTACCGAGATGTGCGGTTTTTCTTTTCTCATGGCACAACCCAGGCAGCTCGATTACACTTAGATCGATTTTGTCTCTGCCTGACGGATCAAACCACACTGACCTCCAGAAACATTTTTCTAAATTCCGTTTGCAGTGACATTTTCCTTAACTATTGATCACGGCGACACGGAAAGCATGATGAATAACAATAGCAAAAAAAGCCAATTAGGCCTATCTGGGCACTAAAATACTTTGATATTGAAATAACGCCGCTAGACAGAGAAAAGGCAAGATGCATGCATTAAATACAAGACTGTGAAATCGCTACCCTTTAGGGTATGTGAAATGATCAAAATATGCTGCTTCAGATACTGTAGGCACCTCACCGATCCGCACAGAGGATGAACGGCCTCTGGGAATTCTGCTCCTTTATGCTGGAGCGAGTTAAACTTCAGAACACAAAGAGAAAACAAGGTAAAAGCACTCGTAACTTTTAAGTCACTTTAAGATCCTCCATGGAAAAGCTTTTAAACAATGTCAAAATCCGACTGAACACCAAAGCCAGAGCCCAGAAGCAGCACGGCAGCACAATCACACACGCCTCGCTCAGAAGTCTCTCTCAATGATTTTGTGCTTTCTGAAGAAATGACTGAATTCTCTTGTCTGCGGTGCTGTGGCATATGCTGTATGGAGCTGGGCCATACATCAGACATGCATGACATATTTGCAATAATTTTGCTGGCATTAAAAATGAAGCAATATTGTGTGTTTTTCTATTTATTATTCCTATAAAGGCTAATTCACACCACACAGACAAACAAGTTGGATTTAGAACTTTATGAAAAATAACTCTACCCCAACAGAGACTAACAAACACTGATTGAACATGGTCAGTCAGGTGAAAAAAAAGCCTGACCAACACCGACAGATGGGGTAACACACTGGTTTTCGTTTGTGTGTGTGAATTTGCCTATGGTGTGTGTCCACTGGTATGGAACGAGCGGACCAGAGAGAGCGTTTTCAATTCATTCCTATAAGTTGGGCTTTAGAGACAAACGGGGGTGGCAGCCAATCGCTCTGAGGTTTAGGCTCTGACGTCTGTTTTGAGCGTTAAAAATATGCAGGTTGTGCTGTAGTTTATGTGCGTAAATCATATTTCTTTGTACACTTTGTTATATATGAAGAGATCAGATGCAAAAGCCTCTATTTGAAATTTTCTTCTAGAATGATCATTTTTATCAAGCTTGTATATTTAAGTTCAGTGATTTCACTTAAATGGCAATGATAATTACCTATTAATTGTTATTTAAGTGAAATTACTGAACTTAAATATACAAGTTTGATAAAAATCATCATTAAAGAAGAAAATTTCAAATGGCATTTAGAGGCTTTTGCATCTGAACTCTTTATATACTGTCTATACACTCACCTAAATGATTATTAGGAACACCTGTTCAATTTCTCATTAATGCAATTATCTAATCAACCAATCACATGGCAGTTGCTTCAATGCATTTAGGGGTGTGGTCCTGGTCAAGACAATCTCCTGAACTCCAAACTGAATGTCAGAATGGGAAAGAAAGGGGATTTGGCGATGCCTTGTTCCCACTGTGCAGGCTGGTGGTGGTGGTGTAATGGTGTAATGGATGTTTTCTTGGCACACTTTAGGCCCCTTAGTGCCAATTGGGCATCGTTTAAATGCCACGGCCTACCTGAACATTGTTTCTGACCATGTCCATCCCTTTATGCCCACCATGATGGCTACTTCCAGCAGGATAATAAGCTTTTTAATGTCCCAAAGCTCGAATCATTTCAAATTGGTTTCTTGAACATGTCAATGAGTTGACTGTACTAAAATGGCCGCCACAGTCACCAGATCTCAACCCAATAGAGCATCTTTGGGATGTGGTGGAACGGGAGCTGGATGTGCATCCCACAAATCTCCATCAACTTCAAGATGCTCTCCGATCAATATGGGCCAACATTTCTAAAGATTGCTTGTTGAATCAATGCCACGTAGAATTAAGGCAGTTCTGAAGTAATACAAAGTAATCCTTTTAGGTGAGTGTGTTAAATATTGCAGTTTGGATACTTTCATTGTGATTATATAAGCTGGGTTTACAAACGTTTCAGAAACAAAGCTTTCCTCTTTCCAGCTGTGTTAAAACCCCCCAGAATAAACACTTTTAGGCATTTTAGCATTTTTCCGCTGAAGAGGACAGTCATATATGAGAGCAGTAAAACACTAAAACTGTAAAGTACTCACCCTCATGTCATTGAACGACACTCTAATATCACAACAGTTTATAGTGAACACATCTGTCAAGGCCCGAAGTGGAGTAACGACAAAAAAGTTCAATAAAAACACAGCCCAAAGATAATATTTTAATCAATTTGTGGTGCTTTTATTTTATAGTAAAATAAATTCTATAAAATAAAAGCACCCCCCCCCAAAAAAAAAAAAATATCTGTAGAAATATTCAACACTATCTCACGACCAATTCGTACGAATTCGACACATGATTAAAAAGTGGCTAATTCGTACTAATTCGTACGACCTCACTCGTACTAATTCGTACGATTTGTCTAAACCCACGTGATGGTTAGGTTTAGGGGCGGGGTCAGGGGTAGGTCATACGTACGAATTCATACGAATTGGCCAATTCGTAAAATATGTACGATTTAGCAAAATCGTATTAATTCGTACGAGTGAGGTCGTATGAATTGTTACGAATTAGCCACTTTTTAATCATTCGTCAAATCCGTACTTGGTCGTGAGATCGGGTTGAAATATTCAATAAAATACAATACAATGAAATGAAACTGATGCTTTTATTTTATAGTTTCTGTGCAAAAAAGCAATAAAATGCAATTCAATGCGATGAAAAGAACAAAATCCTGGGCCTGCTCTTAGCTCACTTTAAGCCTTCAGTCATCAGTCATGAGTTTCAGTCACTTACACAGCTCTACACTATGTCATTCTGACTCAACTAAAATCGCAACGCATTAAACAAATGCATGTGCAGAAGATGTTGCAGACCAAGTATGAATCATTATCAGTGTCAGCATCTTCTGTCTTCAGGAGTTCAGACATCACCAACTCAGACAAATGGCTGCAGGACTTCATTTGTCAGTGAACGTCAGGGACGTCCAGCTATTCATCTCCATGGAGAGAAACCTCAGTTCAACAGTTTAAAACCAACTCAAGGTTGGTCACCCGAGAGCTGTTATGGCATGTTTTCCATCAGGGGACATGGGAGATCAATACGGCAGTGTAATTCTGGATCATCATAGCTGCTTAATTCAATAAGCAAAACACACCTTGAAGTGTCCCAGAGGATTTAGCTGGCGCACTGTCAACCAAAGCCTTGCAAGTGTAGATAGTCTGCCCCAAAGCCAGACTTGCACAGAGACTACAAATGATTTCGTCCTGTATACTCTATCAGTGCAGAGCAGATTTAAGATAGAGAGAGGTGGACCTTCACACACACGAGGCTATCTCTTGTTTATCTCAACGGTAGACCATGCAGCCATGGACATTTCTCAAAGAGATAGCTAAAACTTTTAGGACATATTTGTTAAAGGGGTCATGACATGAAAATGAATCATGTTTGGCGCTTGACATATAACATAAGAAGTCTTTGCACCATTAAAACATGCTTAAAACATCTTCCTCATTATAAACAAAGCATTTATTTAAAGGAGTAGTTCACTTAAAAAAAAAAAAAACTTTTGCTGATAATTTACTCACCCCCATGTCATCCAAGATGTCCATGTCTTTCTTTCTTCAGTCGAAAAGAAATGAAGGTTTTTGATGAAAACATTCCAGCATTTTTCTCCATATAATGGACTTCAATGGGGTCCAAACGGTTCAAGGTCCAAATGAGAGTTTCAGTGCAGCTTTAAACGACACCAGACGATGAGTAAGGTAACTGAAAAAAAGCTGAAATAAATATTGCAAGTTAATTCAGACTGAAATATACTTTACATTCTAGATTTCACTTACTAGAGTTGGTGTCATCAACTTAAACTTAAACTATTATTTTGTTAACTGAAATAAAGCTGAAATAAACACTGCTTTCTAGTTTTACTATCAGGGTTATTCTTGTTACAAATTGCTAACACTTTGCAATAAGGTTTAACATTAGTTAACTACATTAATTAGCATGAACTGATAACTACACTTATACTGCATTCATTAATCTTTGTTAATGTTAATTTCAACATTAACTAACACATTATTAAAATCTTGTTAACATTAGTTAATGCACAGTGAACTAACAAAGATTGACAAATAAAGTATTGCGCATGTTAGTACATTAACTAATGAACCTTATTGTAAAATTAAGACATTATTTGTGAATTGAAATAAAGCTTACATTTTTTCTTTTTATTATTGTGAACCAAAAAATAGTTCATTAAAATAATAATTGAATAAATATTAGATGGAAAACATAATATCACAGTAGCCTATATAAATTATATGTGCTTTCTTCAAGCTTTCTACTACAATCTCAACTAAGATTCCTGTGATCCTAGTTCCTCTGAGGCTTTAAAGTGTGTTTTCGCTGTGGTTACATCACTGACAAAGGCCACACACAGATTTCAGAGTGGTTTGTTGTTGGTATGTTCACTTCTCTAATGACACAAAGGAGAAGAGTTAACTTCTCTAATCCATGTACACTGAGTGCTTTGTGTGGTGAGAGACAATATTCCCTTAAAAATCACGAGATAATTTAACACTCAAACCACTCAACACTGCAGGAAACCAACATAGACTTTACAGCG